GAGGCTTGGCAGGGCACCTGGGAGGCACGATTAGATTCGCCTAATCGAGTCGTGGACTCAGGCACGCTGCTGCAAGCCATCACCCTGCATGTGGAAGGCGAGACACTGCAAGCACTTGTTGATAGGTGGCACAGGCAATACGCATTGCACGCTTTAGTGCAACACCATGGTCTACTGTTCGTGCAGATTGCCCGGTACACACGCGACGCCAAGCTACATGATGTGCTTCGTGTGCGGCCAGGTGACTCAGTGATTCTCCCTGTCTTCGAGACAGCTGAGGGCCTTGGGGTCAAGCATGAGGCCTTTCGGGTTATTGTGTTGATCTATCATCTTGGTGACAGGGTTACTAGTGGCCACTATAAGTCCTTGATTGGGGTCCCGGACGATGCTGCTTGGGGGTACTTCGTCTGTGATGATAATAAGTCCCCACAACCTGCTAAGAATAGGGACCTGCAACAGGTGGATCGCAATGCCTATTTGATAGGCCTCATGCGCAATTTGTAGCACAGGCAAGGGCCAGCAGGGGGGGCCCACAATCACAACACTCCCTGCCGATCAGAGCTGCCCGTGACGCCGAAGCGCGTGATCACGTGACAAATACCGTTGCAGCTTTGAGCATATCACTTTTTCGTTGCTGTTTCATTTCATGTGCACTGACACAGTTGAGCGCTTCAGACTCCACACGCTCTGCAGCTGCTCCAGCTCTCCTCCGGCGGGGGAGCTAGAGGGTCTAGGTCTGGCCCTCGCGCGCGTAGGGAGCGCGGCTCTCCAAGCCGGAGCCTTGAGTGGCATTGCAATGCCAGCATGCAGCATCAACCATGTTCACATGCAGCCACCTGCTTGCTAGCTGGTGGCTCAACTCCAGCACCGTAGGTAGGTGCTCATAGACGTCTAGGTCGACGTCTGACATGGCGCAGCCAGTGTCGCTACCGGCACATATGGCGGCAGTGGCTGATGAGGAACGAGCCATTTTGGAAGCCCTAGTATCCTTACTACCAGCCGAGCGCTCGCTCAGGCCTGCCATCTCGCTTGCTACTCGCAATGAGCTTGTACTGGAGGCTAAGGATCTCCTCGATGAGGAATCCTGGAAGCGGTTTTTGATGCAGCTGGAGCACCTACATGCTGTGGCTCTAGCAAACTGCATCGTTGCCTTTCCTCCACCATGCTATGGCAATCCAGGCACGTGTGCGGAGCAGTTAGCCGAGGCCTTCCTGCTTGAAGGAGCGGGCTCTCTATGGTCTGCTGTTCGCGAAGTGGTTCGAGCATTGGAGTTTGAGCAAGACCATCGGGACAGTGCAAGCGGAGCCACCTTCAGGCTCGGACTGTACTCGAAAGGGGGCATCTTGGGCGTAGCCAGGAATTCCTGGCGCCACGTCGCAACCTGTCGCATACTCAATGCTGCCATTCTGAGCATCTGTGGCTCACACACCTGGACCTCATTAAGCATCAATATGGATAATGGCATGGGAATCCACCTTGACAAGCACAATGCCCCAGGACGCAGCCTTTTGGTAGGGCTGAGTCATCATACGCAAGGAGAACTTTGGGTTAAGCAATACGGAGGCCCAGCCTGTATGAGTGCCAATGGTATCCGATACAGTGGCCAGCTTTTCCCCACGTCGGCCTCTGCGGTTCTCTTCGATGGCCGCACCCATCCGCACGGCACGATGCAGTGGACCCGCAACCGTTGTGTCCTGGTTGCCTACACTGTGGGACGGCAGGCGGAGATTGATCCAATACTGCTACAACATCTGCTGAATGCGGGCTTTGTGCCGCCTATCGAGGGCTCAGGCTCTGATGGCCTTAGCCATGGACACCCGCCTGGCCAAAGCAGTCTGAGTGATTACCTGATCATTGGTCGGGCCCAGGATCGAGATCTTGTACAGCTTGACTGAAGTTTAGGATAAGTTGGGGTGTAGGGCACGCAGGTTCTCTGGTGCGAGCTTGCACCGGCACGACACCTAAGGTAGCCTTTATCCGCACCAGCTTGTGAATGGCTTGGGAATGGGATGCACCATGTTCCGGGCAGCCGAAGAGCTGGCATGGTGTCGCAGCACTGCCACGCAGTATGCGCTATGCGTTTGTAGGTTAGGAGCCTGACTTGGATCGTCTCCAAAAAGGGTCCTGCACGCCGGCGTAGCAGTCCGTCCGAGCTGAAAGTGCGCCATCTTGCACTACTCAGGTCATGGCCTCGGGACGAGATGGCTCGCATCCTGCTGCAATGGCGGCAGGGGGCTTGGCCATCAATCCAGATGCGGATGCCGGACGTCGTGACAGGAATCGAGACAGGCCACGCCAACATAGCCGAGGAGGCGACATCCAGCCCAGACGAGGCCGCATCTGTTCGGTGCCTGGCTGCACGCGCGAATACCTCCGGGCCTCTCACCATCACTGCTGCTCGATGTGCTCGGTTGGTGGTCACACGGATCGGTGTGACATGGACTGGCACAAATACAGTCGTAGACAGCGGCGTGCGCAGGAGAGAAACTCGAGAGGACAGCTTACAGCCTGCTCCATTCAGGGATGCCTGCGGGTTTCGGGAGTGGGGCACCACACCTGCTGTAGTGCCTGTGAGGAAAGCCAAGGTGCAGAGCATACCATACATTGCACCAACCGCCAGCAATTTCTTCACGTGCAAGGTGCTGATACTCAGGTTGCTCGAGCTCAAGATGCTGTTCTTTTCGGGGCCAGGGGACACTGGCGCAACAATCCTGTCCAGGTGCAACCGGGACAGCAGGGCTTGCAGGCGACTCCAAGTGGTACTCATGGAGGCGGCAGTGGCAGCTCCACAGATGGGACGGGAGCTACCGTGAGCGATCCTCAGCCTGTGGCGATGGTTCCAGCGGCTACTTTTTCGCAAAGCCTGCCGACATCCTCGAAGCCATCAGTTTTGATTGAGATCATCGATTCGGACGATGATGTACGCATGGAGTCGGAAAATCAGGAGAGCTTGGAAGCAGCAGTAGCTTGTGAGCTTGATAAGCTCGACTAGTTGCTAGCAAGAGGGGCATTGAAATCAATGTCGCCGTCACAGAACGGCCGGTACATGCACCATGCATTACTGCCTACCCTCGTCGAGCACTCGGATTGTGCGACGGCTGCAATGCAATGCAATACTACTACTACTACTACTACCACTACTACTACTACTACTACTACTACTACTACTACTACTCTGCAGGCCGTGTCTGATTGCAATGCCAGTGTACCAGTGCTGCTCCAGTATGTGCCTGCTTGGTTCCATCTGACATCAGGTGCTGGCGAGTGGCATCTTCATGGTGCGCTGGACAAATGAGCCCACCGAGCGACGTGGCCCAGGCTCAGGTTTGCGGGGCTTGGGGGTCACCCATGTGCTGCCTCAGCGGCAGCTCTGCGCTGGTGGCTGTGGGTTGGAGTTCCACAGCTCCAATCATCGTCACTGCTGCTCGTTGTGTGTCACTACGCAAGGACAGGCTCACACCAGACGATGTGGCAGGCATCAGCGTTGGTTGGTGCATGGGCAACATGGCTCGCTCAGGATCATGGTCTGCCGCCATGAGTGGTGTCAGCGTACTACTGACATGTACCATGACACGTGCTGCAGTATGTGCTTGCCCAGTGATGCTCGCAGACACTCGCGACGATGTGATCGCACTCTACGCCGATTCCAGCAGTTGAACACAGGTGGACAGCAGCCGCCACAGCCATCATATTCGACGCCCTCGATGACCTCATCAGTGCATGTGCCCACATCGATGATGGCTGCGACTACTCTGCATGAGGATGAGGAAGAGAGCAGCTTGCTTGATTGCTCGCAATCTGTGCCTGTGCCTATGACTTCTGATGCAGCTGCTTCTTCGTCGGATGCTGTGAATATTGCTGTTCCTCCTCAGGGTGAACACCTTGTGGTTTTGAGTGATCAGTCTGCTGAGTGCATTTCTCAGGGGCCCATTGTTCTTGATGAGCTTGATTAGCATTGCCTTCCATTCATCAGAGGGCTTTCGATTCGTCTGAAAGGAGTAGCCATAAGGGCTATGCAGCTTCAAGCTGCCGGGCAGTATGCCTGTCCTTCGCATCGCATCGAC